AGCCTGTCCTATCCAGACAGGCCTGCGGAGACAACAACATGCACAAAAACAAGACAGAGCAAAACCAAGCAACAATGTACAACAAAACAGCAACAACATTCCCCTAGTTCTTTAATGCTTCCTCTCCCCCCACCTCCCCACGATCATGATCCCAATTCTATCTTACAAATTTGGCTAGACCAGAGCATGTACACAGGTACAGATAAGAGCCGGAAACACAGGGAATCCAGGACAGACAAACCCCTCATGACTAACAATGAGAGTAGCCATATCAGGAGGGTAAGGGGAAGGTGGGGGAGAAAAGGGGAACCCATCACAATGATCTACATATAGCCCCCTCCTAGGGGGACAGACAATAGAAAAGTGGGTGAAGGGAGACATTGGTCAGTGTAAGACATGAAAAAATAATAACAATTTATAAATTATTAAGGGTTCTGGGGGAGGGAGGGGAAAATTGAGGAGCTGATATCAAGGGCTCAAGTAGAAAGAAAAGGTTTTGAAAGTGATGATGGCAACAAATGCACAACTGTGCTTGACACATGGATGCATGTATGTATCCTGATAAGAGCTGTATGAGCCCACGATAAAATGATTTAAAAAGAAAGAAAAGCTGGTTTTGAAATCTATACAGATTATTGGCAGCATGACCTTGAGGAAGTTACTTCCCTTTCTGTTAATTTTCTCCTTTGTAAAATAGGGAAATGCCAACAGCCCCTACCTGCAGCGATATATTTATCAATCAACCATTTGTTACTGCTACTGGGGACCCTGGTGGCGCTGTCGGGTAATCACTGATGACTTACTGCAAGGTTAACACTTCAAACCCACCAGCTGCTTCTTGGGAGAAAGATGAGGCTGTCTTCTCCCATAAAAGACCTTGGAGACCTAGAGTCACTCTGAGGCAGAATCAAGTCAGTGGCAGTGGATTTGGTTTGTTTCTGGTCTACCTGCTCCTCACACAGAGGCTGCAACAATGGGTTCAAACAATTGTCATGATGGTGCAGGACCGGGCAGGGCGCTGTTCTTTTGTACAAAAAGGGTCTCGATGAGCTGGAGCCATTGTGACACCTAAAAACAGCATCTGCTCCTGAGCACCCTGGCCACGTGAGTCAGAGTCAACCCATGACGGAACTGCTTCATCATTACAATGAAGACCTGCCCGTGACATTCAGCCATCAACATGCATGGACGCTGCTGTCCCTTTGCCTCAGAGCATTCCTTTGCTCCTTGGTGCTTTTTTGTTTCTTTTCAAAAAGCAGTTCCTGGGTGGTGCCAATGGTCCACACGCTGGGCTAAGCAAATGGCTGGAGGTTCGTCTACCCAGAAGCACCTCAGAAGAAAGGCCTGGTGATCTCCTTCTGGAGAAATCCACCACTGAAAACACCGTGGAGTGTAGTTCTTCCTTTTAAAAAATACCATGTCACACCACACAGATTGAAGCAAAACAACGGAAGGTGTTGCGGCTTCCCCTAAAGGCAGGGTTTTTATTCTGCCTTTTCTGGATGGCTCAGTGGGCCACTGGTAAAAGCTCCAGTCAGTGCTTTTCAAAAGGGATATGGAGTTTAGTTCCACGTTGACCCAAACAGACTGCCCATGATTTGGAGCCAACTGGTAATTGGAGGGACAGGAAAAAGGGAAGAAGAACCCAAGAAAAGGCTGACAACATCAGGAAGCTGCTGACAGATTCAGGGGGAAACTCTGAAACCAGCGGCGAAGTGAGGTGTGTAAGTTTCTCTCTACGGACTCGATTCCTCAGCTGCGCCCCACGCCACCACCGAAGGCTGGACTCTGATCGTGGAACTGTGAGCAGCACCCGTTACCGTGAAAACTGGCCCCTTTTATTTGGAATGGAGAAAATGTCCATCGGTTTTAGAGACACAGGGTAGAGAAGACATAACGAGACAGTCTTTAAATCTATATAAACCTTTTAATTAAAGTCATCAAATAATAAAAAAGAACAGACTTCAGCATCCAGTGTAGTGAAGAAAGCAAACGCCTTTGAAAGGTATGCGTCAATAAAAACAAAACAAAACAAAAACACTCAGTTTATGAAGTCCCCGATGTGGTCAAAATTTTTTAAAAAGTCCTCTAAGTTGTTCTTAGGAGCAGCAGTATTTCCATTTTTTATTTTATTTTATTTTATTTGCTTTTTTTTGTGTTTAGGATTTTCTTTGCCAAAGTCACATTTACTTATTCCTTTGGGATGTCATTATGTAATTCCAGAAGAAATGTCCCCTTGAAAGTTGAACTCAACAGGGAGCTTTAGTTACAGCCAGTCAATTCCTGTGTCCTTTCATGGAGAGGTCAGAGAGCTGTGGGTGGCTATGCAGAGCCGTACCTAGGCAATGTTGTCAGACACAAGCACAACTTGACATCAAAGAGCAATATTTTAACGTAGCAACCAATATATGGTGATCTGAAACACTCAACCAGTTTCTGAAAGAACAGAGCCTCGAGTCAGAGAGAAATGGCCCCTACCATGCTCAACACAGTCTGCTTGGCACATGGTTCAATGTCAAGTGGTGCAAATGACTGACATGCCTGGCTGCCGATTGAGGTTTGTGTCCACCCAAGGATACCTGGGAAGAGAGGTCTGGCCATCTATTCTGAAAAAACCTAGCCATGGAGAACCCTCTGGGTCAGTTCTTCTTGGATATCCATGGGGGTCACCAGGAGTGTGCATGACTCAAGGGCACTGGGCTTTTCAAATTGAGTTCTTGCTGGGGTGACCCAGATGTGCCAAGTTCCGAAGCCACTTCCTCACTTTACATTAGGCCTCAGAAGTTCAACTGGTGCCCGGGGAAATGCCACTCACATTGCTCTCCCAGAGAGGCTTCCGGAAGACCGACTTACTGCCACCCATAAAGCAAAACACAAAACAATTCAGATCGGCTGTTAATTGGGCCAGGCTCATGGTGTTACCGCTTGAATGACTCAGCAAAAGGCTGAGGGAAAAATGTTGATGATTGGCAGCTGACTTTCCAAGCACAAGGGCCTTTAGGGGAAAGGGCAGGAGACAGAGGAACACTGAATCCAGGCGTACACTGAGGAGCAATGAAAACGACTCTCCTCACCACCTGAGTTGGCCCAAGAGTCCTCCGTGGAGAAACTGTCAGCCTTGAACATGAGAACGGGCCAGCCCCATGTCCTGCGCATCTCTCCTCAACCTCAGATCAAGACTCACTGGAATCTCCAGTGCTGAGCGGTGGGTCTATGAACAGGGAAAACCCGTCCATCTTCCAGAGTAGTAGGTGAGACACAGGCCCGTGTTCAAGAGTGGCTTCCACTGTGCCCTGTGGCACTCAGCCCTCCAGGTGGACGTGGACGTGGCTGAGAGAACGTCAGGAATGGAATAGGGCTTGTGGGTGGGAGCAGTAACCAGAGAAGGCAGATGGCCAAGCTCAAACTGGCTAGAGGTCACCTTGGCAGATGTCCCTGTGGACACTGACATAGTTGACCCTGAAGCCTGTTGCTCTGACCCCGGGATGACAACGGCTGTCAGGGAATCACATCCCCTCACACCCCTCCCAAGGCTGTGTGTGGGGATCGCTTCCCTCGCCATTTAGACAAGACAGGAGCAAAAAGAAGCTCACTTAATAGAAGTTATTTTCACGGCTGAGTGTGTGGAATAGGATTTGTCCTTGCTATTGTGGTTTTGACCTCTTTCGGTCTTCTCCACCGACTTAGCAATGAAGTGTGAGCACCCAGGAGACTTCTAGCCATACACATCACCAGTTCTGCAAGTTACAAAATCGTGCCGCAATGCTGGCCCTGAAAGCAACTTTAGAATACCTGCTGTCTCTCCCACCTACGGGTTTACAGAAAAGGCTACTGAGGCCCCTCCCATCACTTGTAGCACCAAGTGACGTAAGGGAAGGGATGAGCTACATGGTGTGTTTCCATTGAGGGAGGGTCTAGGTGACTCGCAGTGACAGTATATTGTCTCTGAGCCTAGCGTCGCTGCACTGCACACACCTGGGCAGGAGCAGCCTTTTCTTGCTGTATGTAGTGCAAGTCTCACAAGCAGGCCTTCTTGGCTTCACTCCTGACCACCAGTCAACTTATGGAACAGGTCCTCATCAAGCGTTTCGTTCTGGTCCTTGGAGCGGGTGGACAGAAAGATGTAGCCCCCGATGTACTCATGCACGATCTTGCAATCTGCACTCAGGCAGGTGAACGCGATGGAGACGTTTTGGTCAAACTCAATAGCCACCTGGAAGAAAGAAGAAGGCTAAGGTTATATATTCTGACACGACATCTGAGAAAGAAGCTGCGCGGCCAGATGTGGTCTCTGGGCAGACAAGATAAAGAAGGGAGGAAGGCGAGAAGGAAACCCTGTGCTTCATGAGATACTCACGGAAAACATCTCTGTTCTAACTGTGCCATCTTGTGGTGTAACCTTGCCACATACTTGGTAAAACAGCCTACTCTCACATAAAGGGAACCCTGGTGGTGTAGTGATTACGAGTTGGGCTGCGATCCTCACGGCTGGCAGTTCGAAACCACCAGCAGCTGTGTGGCAGAAAAGACTGGACTTTCTACTCCTGCAAACATTTACAGTCTCGGAAACTCACAGACGGGGGAATGTCACTATGATTCAGCATTGACTTGATGGCAATGAAGTTTTTCACCCCTAGGGATTTCTGAGACTGTAACTGTTTACAGGAGTAGAAAGCCCAGTCGTTCTCCCTCGGTGCTGCAGGTAGTTTTGAACTGCTTATCATGTGGACCGTAGTCCAACAAGTAACCACAACACCACCATGGGGACTTTAAGAACTCTGTGGACAAATCTCATTATCATTTGAGTCCATTTTTCCATGAACTTATGAACCTTTTGAAGTACTCTCTTTTTTTCAACCCCTCCTTTTCTCGCTCTCATTTAACTATAAGAACTCCCTCAAATCAGTTCTCGTGTTGAGGAGCAGGGTGCTTTCTGGATTCTTCAAGAAAGAATAAATGGCCCAGCTGAATTTTCCTACAGCCATGCCCCTCACTGCATCCCAGCTGAAAATCACAAACTCTTCAAGAAGCGGAGGCGTCACTGGTTCCACGCTATGATGCTTAACCATTAGAATCACAGGTGGAGCTTTCAAAATCACTGATGCCAGGTTACCAGTCTCAGAGTTGTTGTTAGGTGCCATTGGCTCATAGCACAACTGAAGGAAGCATTGCCTGGTCCCGTGCCACCCTCACAGTTGCTCACATGCTTGAGCCCACGGTGGCAGCCGCTGTGTCAATGCACGTTGTTGAGAGCCTTCCTCTCGTCTTGCTGTGCCTCTTCTTTCACCCAGGACGATGTCCTTCTCCAGAGACTGCTCTCTCTTGAAAACATGTCCAAAGAACACGAGATGAAGTCTCACCATCCTTACTTCCAAGGAGCATTGATTGTAGTTCTTCCAAAAATGGTTTGTTTGATCTTTTCCTAGTCTGTAGTACTTCCAACCTTCTTCCCCAGCACTGTAACTCAAATGCATGGCTTCTTCTTCAGCCTTCCTTATGCAGTGTCCAACTTTCGCACGAATATGAATGTTTGAAAATACCATGGCTTGGGTGAGGTGCCTTAGTCCCCACTGTAACCTCCTTGCTTTCAACATTCTAAAGAGGTCTTGTGCACAGATTTACCAATACAATGTGTCACTTGATCTTCTGCCTGCTGTTTCCAGGAATATTGATTGTGGATGGAAGCTAGATGAAATCCTTGACAACTTTTCTCCATTTATCATAACGTGAACTATTGATCCAGTTTTCTGTCTTCTTTACATTGAATTGTAATCCATGACAAAAGCTTCAATCTTTGATCTTAATTAGTAGGTTCTTTAAATTCTCCTCACCTACAGCAAGCAAGGTTGTGTCGCCTGCATATTGCAGGTTGTAATAGCCTTCCTCCGATTCTGATGCCAGTTTTCTTCCTATGATCCAGCTTCTCTGATGATTTGCTCATCATGCAGAATGAATAAGTGTGGTGAGAGGATATAACACTGACCCCTTTCCTGATTTTAAACCATGAAGTATTTCCTTTCTGTACACAAAACTGCCTCGTGATCCATGTACAAGTTCTGCAGGAGCACAACTAAGTGTTCTGGAATTCCCATTCTTCTCAAGGTTATTTATCCACACAGTTGAATGCCTTGGCATAGTCAATAAAACACAAGGAAACATCTTTCTGGTATTTCCTGCTTCAGCCAAGATCCATCTGATATCAGCAAAACTCAGAGATTTGTATCTAATTGTTCTGGCATTTGGCTGGCTCAGGGGGAAATGCTAAAGCAAGCAGCTCTAATATGCATTAAGGTTTTTATACCACTGGTTTAGAGATCATCTAATATCAGGTCATTAGGCTACAAATGAGTTTCTAAGTGGTTATCAGCACTGTTGGGAAGAATTCTTGGGAGGAAAAAGAACCCAAGTTTCTTACCAGCACCCTGTATCGATGACTTTCTGCTGGAAAGATGCGAGTGCCAAAGACAGGAGGGAAAAGAGATTTTTATATCAGCAACAGGGGGATATGTTGAATCATGGGGGTTCTGAGATGACTATTTCACCTTGTACTTTCCATTTTCCATTCCTGGCCTGAATTTAGTTTGTGGGGCGGAAGACAATGGGAGGCTTTAATATAGGCTTAGGGATTGAGAGTATCTAAACTCAAGAGCCCTGGTGGCAGAGTGGATTAAGTACTGGGATGCTAACTGTGAGGTTGGTGGTTAGAAGCCACCAGCTGTTCTGCAGGAGAATGATGACTGCTGGCTCCTAAAATGATTTGCTTTGGAAACCCTAAGAAATAGTACTTTCAATATTCTTGGCCAGCACTATAATTTAAATGCATCACTTCTCTTTTGGTCTTTTTTATTCAATGTCCAACTTTCACATGCATATGAGGTGACTGAATATACCATGGCTTAGTGCACCTTAGTCCTCAAAGTAACTTCCTTGCTTTTCAAAACTCTAAAGAGGTCTGTGTAGTGGATTTACTCAATGCAATGGGTACTAAAACTGTGTGTGACTATTTTACCAGACACCACATGTGTTCATTCTAAACAGAAGGGCACTCTTTAAAAATCAGAAGACTCGGTAATTCTGAGTGAATATTTCCATGCTTAATGCTGAGTATCAAAAAATTTTCATTTTACCTGCCGAATCTCCCAATTTACATTCCACTGTTTCATATTTGTGAACCTCCATGTTGTAATTGGAATCCCAGTGGCTGCATCAATTCTAATCAACCTATTGTATGAAACACCCAGAATATCATCTTTCTTGCTGCCTCTAAATCTGGAAAGATAACAATATTAATTAATTAATTAACAACAGTTTCTCGTAATACGATGTTCATTCACATGCAATCTCTTAAAGATAATACTAACAGTTTGGTAAAGCATCTCAGAAAAATGAATGAGAGGATTAACTTTTATTTTAATAGTTTTATTGACACATAATTTACATATCATATACTGCAATAGTTCAGTCATATCAAAAATCGTTGTGTGAGCATCACTATAATCAAGTCTAGAATATTTTATTCCTTCCTGTACTCATTGTGATTAGCTCCCCATTTCCCTCCAACCTCCTCTCCCATACCCACAATTAGTTATTAATCCAGTTACTATTTCTCTAGATTTACCTACTCTGGATTTTATATACTGGAAAACATACAAAAATACAGGCAAAACAAAACAAAACAAAAGAAATAAATCAGAGAAAAACCTCAATTAAAAAGAAAGTATAAAATATTAAAAACTAGAACAAATGTAAAATGGGTTAAGGAAATATTAACTTTTTATAGGAGGATATTTTTACTGTGTGATTAGGGAAAAAGGAGAGGATTAGACCTCCACTACAAACACTCTTTAGGTAAAACTGACACCAAAAGGGAACAAAGTAAGAGAGAATCAAATACATTTTAATCAAAATTCATATCAATTGTGTACTATACCCTCTTGTAGGATCGATATATCAGTGAACTAAAGAATATTCTTGACTTAATTCTTTGTAATCTAGTTAGAGGAGAGAGATATGTCGGCCACAAAGGGACATGAAGAAAAATACAGCAGAGAAGGGAGAGAAGAAATACTGGTGAAGAAGCTGTCGTAGTTAAAAACAAAGAAGACAAGGGAAGGCCTTACACTGAGAAGATGGCTTTGGACCAAGGAACTGATTGTGGTGGTGAGAGATGGAGCCACATGGATATCAAGGTAAAGAGCATTCTCGGTAGAGGGAACAGCCAGTAGAAAGGCTAGAGTACATTTTTGCATGCTCAAGGACCTGCAAAAGGAGTGTGACTGGACATGGTGAAGGAAGAGAGAGGAACGTAGATTAGAAGGCTAAGGTCTTGTAGCCTATTTCAGGATTTAGCTTTTCCTCTGGGGAAGAGAGAAAGCCTTTGGATGGTTTTGAGCAGAGGTGCATCATAATCTGGCTTATATCTTGATAGGGTCACTCTGTCTGCTAAATTGAACGCTTGAGGTGGCAACAGTGGAAGCAGGGAGCCCAGGGAGCATCACTCTAACAAAGATTTAAGTGAGATATGATGGTGGTCTGGACTGCAGTGGTGGTGATGGAGATGGTGAGAAGTGGGTGGACTCTGGGAATATTCTGAAGGTAGAGCCAGTAGGATTTGCTGATGGGTAGGATATGAGCTATAAGGGAACCCAAGGAGTCAAGAATGACCCCAAGGAAACTAACCTAAGCATGTAGGACAGTGTTTCCTAAAGTGGACAATACTGGGCCCTGGAAGACTTAGGGATGATACAAGAGGTGGGTGGGGCTGCAAAAGCAGACTGCTGCACTTTATCCTGGATATGGGCTATAGTACAAAAGTTTTTAATTTCCAAGAGGGTACTGAGTAGTTTTCTGGAGAGGGGGAGGTAGGCCAAATAAGTTGTGAACCTATGATCTAAAAGGAGTTGCCATTCACTGGGATGTCAAAGAATACAGGAGGAGGAAGTTTAAGGGGAAAGGTCAGAGTTTTGGATATGCTGTTGAGAGACTCATTTGGCATCCAAGGGAAGATCTTAAATAGACAGATTTATGAGTCTAAAGTTCCAGAGACACTTCTGGACTCAAGATCTATCTATCTATCTATCTATCTATCTATCTATCTATCTATCTATCTATCTATCTATAAAATAATAAGCACATAAATGAAGCTACATTTTTTTTAAAAGGTTGATCCCCAAGAGGGGGTATACAGATTGAGAAGAGGAGTGATTTAAGGATGAGGTGCATGCAGTCATTATACTTACTAAGAAGTTGGGAATATGGAAAAAGAACTAGCAAAGGAGGTCAAGACAATTGGCCAGTGAGGGAGAAAGGAATCCATGAAATACTGTTGTCTTGGAAGTCCAGCGAAGTGAAAGGAGTATCTCAAGGAGGAGGCGGTGATTGGATATGCCAGATGTTGCTAAGGATGGAGAACTGCCTGTTGAATTCAGCAGCAAAGTGGAGGCCCTGACAAGGGAAGTTATTGGAGAGTAGTAGGGAAGAGATTCTGATTGGCTTGTGTCCAAGAAAGAATGCAGGAAAGAAATTGGAGACTGGGTACATACATTGCTTTCAAGAAGTTGTGTGTATGCAGTTGGGGAAATCATGCCTGCCTTCTGCTGCACCCCAAATGGCTGGGGGATATCTCCTTCAAACAGCTGGGGGAACTCCTGCCTACACCCCAAGGACCTACAAGTGACTTGGGGAACTCCTGCCAGCCCTTTGTGGTGCTCCACACTGCTGCAGGAACATCCGCCCAACCTCTATGGTGATCTCTCCGGCTAGAGTAATTCCGCCTGACATCCACAGAGCTCTACACAAAGGTGGGTACACCCCCCCCACTCTCCACGGCACTCCTGTTGCAGCGGGAACCATCACACAGCATCCAAGGCACTCCAAGGCCCATGGCCCACATCACCAGGACTTCCTGGGAGATCAGCCAGTGAAGCACCATCCTTGTGGGCCCACCACCACCCGACCAGCATCCCGTGAGAGAACTATCCAACTCACACTCAAAAGAACAGAATGCTGGTTGGCCAGGGTAAGAGAGAAAACCACAGGAGGATAAAGTGGTAGCCTGACCCCCCAGTGCAGCTAGCTGCAGGTAGTTCGAAGAAGCACTCTGCAAGTTTTCCAAAGAGAGGGCCCAGTGCCCTTTGACTCCCTGGGAGATGGCACTGGGATCCTCTAAAGCAGGCATCCTCAAACTACAGCCTGTGGGCCACATGTGGCCCACCAAAGACATATATCCAGCCTGCCAGGTGTTTTTGCCTCATTTTGTTTTTTACCTCAAAATAAGATATGTGCTGTGTGCATAGGAATTTGTTCATAGTTTTTTTTTTAAACTATAGTCCGGCCCTCCAACGGGTCTGAGGGACAGTGAACTGGCCCCGTTTAAAAAGTTTGAGGACTCCTTCTCTAAAGCAACATGTAAAAAGCAACCAGCCCCAACAGCCTCAATGAAAAGGCAGGATAAATAGAAGACAATGCTGGAAGAAGTCATGAACTTAACGATGTGCACAGAAGAAGCAGACATTGACCTGCCACAGAAAGAAATCTTCAGAATGCTGCTTGGAGTCATATAGGATATGAGGTAAACAATAAAAAAAAAAAAAAAAAAAGGATGAAATGATAGAGGAGATAAAGGCCGCGCACCAAAGGGAAATACAAGACCTAAGGGATGAAATAACAAAATCCAGTAGCAAATTAACAAACTTTGCCAACAGACTTGAGGAGGCAGAGAATTGCACCAGTGACACAGAACAGGTGTGTCAAACTGGTGGCCTGCAGGCTGCATGCGACCCCTGAGTTTTTTTGTGGCCCGCGATGTTCTGAAATAAAATGAAAATAGAAAAAATTCTTATGAAGAAAATAGTGCTTAGGGGAGATCGAGGCAATACCATACACACAATTCTCTCATTAACCCTTTAACTACTGAAGACTAGTATACACATGGCCCAGTGCCTTTCCTGGGGGCCTGTAGACATGTATAAATGCACTGACTCAGTTCCAGCGATGTTTCAAAGCCATATATCTGCCACTCTCAGTGTCATGTAATGTAAACAAATCCCAATAGAGAAAAGGTTAAAAAGAGCACTCTGGGTTGTGGTGTTATGAATCATACTTAGTGGCAGCACTAGTTAACATTTTTATAGGGAAGCCATTGTATGAGCAACTATTTTCGTCCATGAAATGAAATAAAATGGCATACAGATCAAGATTAACTGATAAACATCTATCTGCTTTAATGAAGATTGTCTGTTCTCAGTCTTTTAATCCAGATATTGGAAAACTAGTATGAGGAAAGTGTTGGCAAGTTTCGGGTAAAAAAGAATAATTTCAGTTTTATAAATACATTAAATAAAATAAATGTTTAAATAAAAGCAATTACATAGTATTTTAATATCCTATCCATATTCCTGGATCCTCACTTCAAAATATAAAATAAGCAAAATTCGTAAATGTGATGTTGCCCACATGAATCTTGCCTGTTGCACCAAATGACCCATGTTTTAATTGAGTTTGACACCCCTGACCTAGAGAATAACCAGGCAGACCTTAACAAACGGGAAAGACAGTCAAATAGGACAATCAGAAAAGTTGAAGAAAACCTGAGAGCCATGTCTGATGCCATGCAGAGGAACAGTATTAGAATAATTGGACTACTGGAACAAGACACAACAAAGAAGTCAATGGCAAAAAGAGTGAGGGAATTCTTAGAGGAAAACGTCCACAGCTTAATAAATGAAACCCGGGCACCCATTCAGGAGACTGAAAGAACATTAGTTAGACTGAATCCCAAGAAGAAATCACAAAGACACATAATAGCTAAATTATCCAATTTTGAGGAAAAGGAGAAAATCATCATAAGAGCAGCTAGGGAAACACAAATAGTCACTTATAAAGGCACCAAAGAAGAATATGATAAGACCTATCAGCAGACATGATGAATAAGAGGAGGGAGTGGAGTAACATATTCCAAAAACTGAAGGAAAATAGCGCAAGCCCAAGAAGACCATATCCGGCCACATTATCTATTAAGATAGATGGAGAAGTACGAGTCTTCCCAGCTAAGGAAAAACTCAAAGGAGACATAAAAAGAAACCCAGCCCTACAAAAAATCCTTGCTGACCCACTATGGGCAGAGGATCAATACTCACTGAGCACAAATAAGAGAATGTCACATAGAACAACTACACCCAGAGGGCAACAAAGAGAAAACAAGATAGCATTAGCTCACTGGTTAAAAGAAGGCAAAATGAACTACACACACAGACACACAACACAAACTGATAAGATAGGGAGGTAGGAAAACACCCAATACAAAAGGTACAAGATGACATCACACAGTCCACAAATGGATGTAATAACACTGAATATCAATGGACTGAACTCAGGCATCAAAAGGCAGAGGCTAGCAGAACTGGCTTAGAAAACATAACCAATCAATCTGCTGCCTACAGTAGACACATGTCAAGATTACAGACAAAAACAGGCTGAGAATTAAAGGCTGAAGAAAAATATACCAAGCAAACGGCAATTCAAAAAAAGCAGGGGTTGCAATCTTAATCTTGGACAAAATTGATCTCAATGTGCAAGCAACAACAAGAGACAAAAAGGGGCACTATATAATGCTCAAGGGAAGAGTAGACCAAGAACCAGTGAGCATAATAAATATATACGTGCCCAATGAGAGACCCGCAAAATTTGTAAATCAAACACGCCAGAAGATGAAAAAAGAAATCACAGGCTCGATAACACAAAAGCATATAAATCAAATACTTCCCTATGACCAAGTGGGATTCATACCAGGGCTGCAGGGATGGTTCAACATACAAAAGACCATTCGTATCATTTGCCGTATAGACATGAAAAATTATAACCACATGATAATATCTATAGATGTGGGAAAAGCATTAGACAACCTCCAACACCCATTCCTGTTTAAGACACCCAAGAAGATAGGAATGGAAGGAAAATTCCTCAATATTATAGAAGCTATATATGAAAGACCAACAGCCAACATGGTACTCAATGGAGAAAAGATTAAAACAATCCCACTGAAAAAGGGGACCAGACAAGGATGCCTCCTGGCCCCACTCCTACTTAACATTGTACTGGAGGTCCTTACTAACAACATAAGGCGACATCAGGCAAAGAAAAGATATCAAAAGTATGTATCTGGGGAAGGAAGAGGCAAAACTATCATTATTCACAGATGTTATGATTTTATATATGGAAAACCCCCAAAACTCCACAAGTGGAAATTTGGAAATGATAGAGGAATAGGGCATGGTGGCAGGATACAAGATCAATAAACATAAGTCTATCAGACTGCTTTACACACCCAACAAGATCTCAGAAGAGGTAATTAAAAAGATAGTACTCTTTACAATAGCCAAGCACAAATTGAAATATCTAGGGATATACCTGAACCCTTCCCCACCCTCCCACCCCCTCAAAAAAAGATTTGTATGAGGAAAACTACTTCAACAAATGAAAGAATATCCCATGCTCGTGGATTGGAAGATAATATAGTAAAGATGTCAGTTCTGCCAAAGGCACTATATAAGTTTAATGTTATCCCAAAACAAATACCATCATCCTTCTTCAAAGAACTGGAAAAACTGATTACCAACTTCATATGGAGAGGGAAGAAGCCCAGAATTAGCAGAGACTCCTCAAGAAGAAGGACGAAGTGGGACGGTTTGTTTTACCTGACTTTAGCATCTATTATACAGCCACAGTAGTCCAAACAGTGTGGTATTGGTATAAGGACAGATATTCAGACCAATGGAAAAGAGTTGAAAACCCAGAAATAAAAACACCAGCATGCAATGGGAAGCAGAAGCCCTCTTCAATAAGTGGTGCTAGAAAAAAATGGATATCTACCTGCAGAAAAATGAAGCAAGACCGTTACCTCACTCCATGACCAAGAATAAACTCAAGGTGGATCACAGACTTGAGGTAAATCCCCAAACTATTAGGGCCATTAATGAGGAAATTGGGACAAACCTGAGAACCTTAGCACAGGGAATACATAGGCTATCAGAAATAGGGAAAGATACAATTACAGAGGAGTCACAAATTGACAAGTGGGATATACTGAAGATAAAACACCCATTTACATTGAATGAATTCACCAAGATAGTAATAAGAGAGCTCACAGACTGGGAAAACATCTTTAGCAATAACACATCAGACAAAGCCCTTATTATTAATATCTACAATACTTTGCAAGTTACAATAAGAAAAAAACTAATTGTCCACTAAGGAGGTGAGCAAAGACTCTGAACAGAAGTTTCACAAGAGCAGAAATCTGAATGGCCAATAAACATGAGAAAATGTTCCCAATCATTAGCCATAAGAGAAATGCAAACTAAATAACTATGAGATACTACCTAATACCCTCAAAGATAGCCCAACTCAAAATAGAAAATAACATGTTTTGGAGGGACTGTGGTGAGATAGAAACTCTTGTTCATTGCTGGTGGACCTGTAGATATGTACAGCCATTATGGAAATCAATTTGGCGATATCTAAAACAGATGGAGATTGAGATGCCATACAACCCAGCAACTCCCCTACTGGGCATATACCCAGAAGAGGCAAGAAACAAACCATGGGCAGACATCTGTGCTCCAATGTTCATCTCGGCACAGTTCACAATTGCAAGGAGTTGGAAACAACCCAACTTCCATCAACAGATGAATGGATCAAAAAACTGTGGTACATACATACAATGGAGTACTACACATCCCTAAAAAGCAGTGACAAAAGCATGAAGCACATTGCTGCCTGGGAAGAACTGGAAGAAATTATGCTAAGTGATGTAAGCAAACACAAAAGGACAAATACAACACGAGTCCATTGAGGTAAGCTTAAAAAATGGGACATAGGGGCAAACCTACTATACATTCCTGGGGTGAGGTCCAGGTACTATGGCAAGTGCCAAAACCAATCCAGGGATACATACAGCAGCCAACCCAATAGGGGGGAGAAAGAAAGAGAGAGAGAGAGAAAAAAAGATATGGGTAGTGTGTGTATGTTCACGTGTGTGTGATCAAGCCGATGTCTAGCACAACTCTGCCCTCTCTCTTCCACTGTGGGGACGGAAGCAGGAGTGGCGTCTCGGAGACAAGCGCTGGGATGGATGTGAAATGAGCTTTTTCCGTGAGTAGAAGAGTCAAGACAGACTTTCCTGCTAGATGGGAAAAAGAAGTTGGTGTCTGGAGAGAGGGCAGAAAACAAACGAAAACTGCACTTTAAAGAAAAGAGTTAAGTCTTTAAAAGAAATACATCTTCGAACCCCTGAGTTGCAAACGGAGAGCAGGAAGGTACTTGTTTTCATGCAGAATTAAGGGAGATTTTCCTTAAGTGTGGACATTTCTTATTGAATTAAGAATACAACTCAATTTGTAGGCATGCATGTGGAGCTACTTTGGGGAGTCATTTGTTTTATATGGGTGGGTGGAGCATTCATAGTCAGTGGGGATTATTGATGAAGGCACTTGTTCTGTGTCCCTGACGTGGAGGTGAACTTGGACAAGTCATGTAAGCTATTTTCTGTATCTTAGTATTCTCATCTAGAGGAGAGATAAGGGGCTTTTTAGTCCCGTAAGGAGTCACAGTCTTGGAAACCCATGGGGGCAGGTCTACTCTGTCCTATTGGGTTGCCATGAGTCAGAATTGACTGGATGGCAGTCTTTTCCCTCCGCGTTTTCTCATCTATAAAGCAGAAGGTGAGGGCACGACATGGGTCACATGAGAGCCCTGAAGACCAAGAACTACTCAGACCCATGGGATTTGGTTCTCTAGAAGAAAAGTCTACACAAAACAATGGCACAAGATGTATTGAGACCTCTTTGTTTGGAAACCTTAAACTTCTGTGACGTTGCCCTGAAAGACAGTCTGTGAACCCTAACAGGGGGCAGTGGCGGTGGCGGGGGAGAGGACACAGTCAGAGGGTTCATAAAATTGGTAAGTGACATCCCTTCTTTGGCATTGCAAATGTAGTTATCCTAAATGAGCCAAATCTTTAAAAAATATAAAAATTGCCCTCTCACACTTATCCAACTTCAGGGGTATTAATTAATACGTTGGACAGGTGGAATGGAAACGTGTCATGAGCCACCAGATGTCTGCAGGCATTCTAAGGAAGGGTCTGCAGTTGACAAACGTACCTTGGTGATACAAACAAAGCAGGGTAGAATTCTATCACATGAAAGAATTTTGCAAGACCAATAACTTCTTCATTGCAAAGAACTGTTTTTGACATATGGATTTCAACTCTATGTAAAGAAAACAAAATTCCTCACAACTGGACCAATAGGCAACATCATGATTCATGGGGAAGAGATTGAAGTTGTCAAAGATTTCATTTTACTTGGATCCGTAAGCAACATTCATGGAAGCAGCAGTCTAGAAATCAAACAACATATTGCATTGGGCAAATCTGCTGCAAAAGACCTCTTTAAAGTGTTAGAGAGCAAACGCTTTTCTGTGCCTGATCCAAGTCATAGTGTTTTTAATCGCCGCATATGCATGTGAAAACCAGACAATGAACAGGGAAGACCAGAAAAGGATTTGTGCCTTTGCACCGTGCTCTTGGCAAAGAATACTGAATATACCATGAACTTCCAGAAAAACAAAAAGATCTGTCTCGGAGCAAGTGCAGCCAGAAAGTTCCTTAGAAGCAAGAATGGTGAGACTTTGTCTCATGTACTTTGGACACATTGTCAGGAGAGACAAGTCTCTGGAAAAGGACATCAGGCTTGGTAAAGTAAAGGACCAAAATGAAAAAAAAGAGGAAGATTCTCCGTGGATCAACACAGTAGATGCAACAATAGGCTCACACATAAGAATGGTGTGACCAGGCAGCGTTTTGCTCTGCTGTACACAGAGTTGCTAAGAATTGGAACCAACTTCCTGGCACCTAATAAGAGCAGTAGTCTAAGAAAAGAAGACTGTGCTTTAAACTAAGTGAGAATAAAATTATCTCCAGGCAAAACACTGAAAATCTAATGGAATGTGAGAAGCAAGCTAACATCACAGTTACCTGACAAGGTAGTAGGTGAGCCCAAATTCAGGTAGAGACTGCCATGCCTGGATGAACCGCAGTTTGGCTTCAACCAAGGGCATCTGGGCCACATTCTGGTGGGCTTCCAGGATCCGGGCCGCCAGCTAAGCAAAAGCAGACATCAGACTCTCCTCAGTTTGCATTGACTACTCGCTAAACACCCCATTAGGTCTAGATCCCCAATGAATTTGTAAAAAAGAAAAGAAAAGCAAATTCTAAGTGTAACTCCTCAAATAAATTCACTCTGATCCTTTCATTCGTTTTCTTTTGCTTATTTTCTATAAGACATGGACATGGGGTGGGGGGTGAGGTGGAGGAGACAGAAATAAGCCACCCAGCACCTAAATGCCTTCTTCGTAGCAGGCAGATGGAAATGCCTGGGGCCACTCTCTCTAGAACTGCCCCAGGGCAATGATTCTACTCTAATCGTTTTGTTTGTGTTACCTACTGGCCACATAGTTACGCAGTTCAACCAATAACCCACTCTGACCAGGTGCTGTCCAGGTACATACACCTCGTGGTGACCCCGTATGTTTCAGAGTAGAACTGTGCTCTGTAGATTTCATGGCTGTGACCTTTAGGAAGCAGGTTGCCAGGACTTTCTTATGAGGCACCTCTGAGTGGGTTTGAACTGCCAAGCTTTCTGTTAGTAACTGAAAGCTTAATTTGTTGTACCACCTACGGACTCCTAACTCACTCTTAGGATAAACCTACATTTGATCTTTAATTTGGGGGGAGCATATAATTTCGTTCTTAATTAAATTCAATCCAAGAACCTACCCATGTACAGATTGTAACTCAGGCACCAAAATTAACAATCATTTCTTATTTATCATTTCATGTCCAGTCTATCTTAAAATGCCCTCAGTACCTGATTTTTCAAGATGATTTCCCCAATCAAATAGGATTCCTCACTTTTTTTCAGAGCAGAAAACGTTCATTGCAAACAATCACCCTAAGAAGATGTGGTACCTGTTTAGACTTGTATTTTTTTGCGCATCGAGGAGACACAAAACATTCTGGGTTCATGTCCATGTTCTCACCACTGGAAGCTACTGGAGAAGCCGAGCTCCGATTCTTCATTCTCAGGAATGAAAGGATGCTGAGGACCTCCGGCTGGTAGGAGCTGTCTGCCATGGTTTTTCCCTTTGATGCCAAGATGCAGGCAGCCATCCAACGGGCATACTGATTCTCCTGCAGCAAGCATGAGAAGGCAGAGAAACAAGTTCAAGGGAAAAGTCAACTGTTGGGAACAGAGCATACCTTGGGCTTGGTCTCCATCATAACACAAAGTCATCACCTTCCATCTTTCCACAAGAGAAGATGTGAAGCTGCATGCCGAATCGTGGTGTCAGTCACCCAATGTAACATCCAGCAACAGTTTTTGAGCCCTGTATTGAGTTTCTAGGTGTTAAAGGGCTAGTGAAGAGGTATGTTGTCTTAATGAGGAACCAAGAGCACAAAATAATATCATGGCGCGCAGGCAGGAAGGAACACAAACTATAGGAGAGTCTTCCTTGATACATATTTCTATTTTTCACATGGCAGAAGAAATCATTAACTGGTATCCCATGGTACTTCTATTGCTAGCACATCCATAGTAAAGATTTGAACCCCTAGGAATCAGGGCTACTGATGGGAATTTGAACCACTCAGTGGTGGTTTCTAGCGTTCTTTACTGTCTGTTTCTTTTGGATCTCAGGGACTGAAGGCCAGTGGCTGCAGAGAGGTTGAATTCTTCAAAGCAGCAGTAGCTATGGCACATTGAATTATTGGCCTCAGTCTTCACCATCCTATGCCCTTTGCCACATCATTTGACATGCCTTCCCACTGGAGTCAAAGCAGAATGCCCCACCCCTTGATTTTGAGCTCAGTCATGTGACTCTCTTTAGCCAATGGCCTGTCAGTGGACTTGACTGATAATTTCAGGCTGAAGTCACGCAAGGCTTTGTGGGTTTCCAGTTGCCTTGCTGCACGCCTGCCATTGCTATGAGTCGAGCTTTCTCCATGCAGCTTGAAAGCTAGAATAAGTACACACGGCACAGACATGGACCCAAAGCCTCATGAGAGTTAAACCTTGAAGCACATTTGCCCAGTTGACACAGCTGAAAACAAAACAGACTCACTGCCATTGAAGCCATGCTGACTCAGAGTGACTTAATTGGTCAGGGGGAACTGCCCCTGTGAGTTTTCAAGATTGTAACTCTTCACAGGAGTAGAAAGCCCCGTCTTTCTTCCAAGGAGTGGCTATGGTTTTGAACTGCTGACCTTGCAATTAGCAGCCCAACGCATAGCTCCTATGCCATTAGGGCTCTTGTAGCTGACACTGCAGCAATGTGTTAAAAAAAATTGGTATAGCAGCATTTACAAATATGCTTCATTGTGTGTGTGTGTGTGGTGGGGGTGTGTTTGTCAGCTGACAAACAAATGTACAAAGTGTGTTATTTGCAAAAAAATAATATAGTATGAATCATTCAGCCCTCATTCATCTGCAGATGCTTCAGAAACAAATGTTTATTATATTTCACTGTTATTTTTGTGGTTGTTTGTTACAAAGCAAAATCTGACAGATACAAGAGTACTCTGACTTGAGAAAACACTTTATGTGTTTGACCCTTGCGCTTAAAAAAAGGGCAAGGTGACTTACATGTTTGTGGTTTTACTTACATGGTCACATTTCAGATATACTTCGTTCATACCATCAGCAACAGGGATTAGTAACTTGATTCCAAACTTTCTGCCTGCAACATTTACATCTGGCACAACTTCACTGCCTGAATGATGAAAAGCAGGGACAGAAGTGAGGTCTGGAAAATTTGTTATAATACAACAAACGGATGGGCATCTAAAATAAAGACACTGGACACAAACGCCGCAGGTTTGGTTCTTTTCTGAAAAAGTGGAGGGACAAGTTGGTAACATCAGTCAATGGGTAACGCAATCAGGCTTAGATGATACTGTAAGGAGCACTGGTGGTGCAGTGGTTAAGCGCTCAGCTGCTTATCAAAACACTAGAGGTTCAAATCCACAGGAGGAAAATGTGTCTGTCTGCTTCCATAAAGAACACAGCCTGTATCACAACCTATAGGGTGGCTGTGCGTCAGAATCGACTCCAGAGTACTGAGGCGTTTGGTTTAGGAGCCATTAACATGGGTAAGAGAAAATTGTTTCCTTGAATGCATCTTTAAAGTAGGTATTGGCTAACCTTACTCATAATCGCAAACCAAACACTCTGCCTCACAGCGACCCTGTAGGACGGAGTAGAACTGCCCCTGTGGGTTTCAGAGATGGTAACTCTCTTTTTAAAAATTTCTTCAATATATTTATTTATATTTTAAAGCAACTGTTGACAAAGGTTCACCAGAAACAATCTGAACAAGTGAGACAACACAGTCACTACCATTGACATACTGCTGAAAGTCACCCGGGGCCCCACGGAGCCTGGCCACAACCAAGCAGCCCAGGGTCTGTCATTTACATGCAAGCTGGCTGCTTCTTACCTCCCCCAACCACCCAGGGGTCTGAGGACCATGAATCAATCACTTCTGGACTGTTTTTAATTAAAAAAGTAAAATACCAATAAAAAACTAATGTATCTTCTCTCTTCAAGGTTTCTGACAGGGACAGAAACATTTCGTTCTTTCCTCAGCGGCATGGTTTTAGAAACTCTAGCAAGTCACACAATAAGCCAACCCCCAAAGAGCGCTCACTGGCTCATGGTGCAAATAACGGGTTCTCTAAGGGTCTGGCCCAAGCGCGCTCTGAGAAGGGATATGCAGGGAAGCTCTACTAAGTAAGCAGGTAGTGCGGGACTGGAAATGGTGACCATTTGCACTG